CCCTCTAGACGTGTGTCTACCGAAGTCAAAATCATGGTCGAAGTGCTACAGAAATTTTAAATTTACCGCTCTTTTGGAGGGCCACGATCATAGAAAGAGGTATTTTTAAGTCTATGTGGTCACGATTCATTACAGACCATAGATCACTATTTAAGTCGCAAGCTATTACGACAGACAGTAGTAGACAGACTACTACCCTTTGGTAGCTTTCTAATTACAGCATTATAGCGCATTATTATAATGCTTAACGTTGAGTGTTTCAACTACAGCAACTCTTCGCACAATCGAGCACTCTCAAAAGTAATGCTTTCGTGTGATGCGTGCAATCGTACCAACTCGGAGACAGAAAATTAACAAGTGTTTTTTTTTAAGTTGGCATTGATCGAAATGTTTTATTTATATGTTATCGTTAGTAATATTATTTATTGTTGAAAAATTATTAAAACCTTCATTTTATTATAGTTGTTTTTTAAATAATCAAAGTTAATTCAAACTGTTTAAATCTAAAGAAAAGTTTACTAGAAAAAAAAAATCCGCCCACCGCCGCGTGGATTTTTTTTCTAGTAAACTTTTCCTTAGATTTAAACATCTAGCAGTTAAATGCTTAAAAAATAAATAAAATCGTAATTCAAACTGTGTTCAAAAATTTAATATAAATATGGATGAAGGTACAAACATTGACTTTTTTTTCAACACTGAACTTAGCGCACTCTGCTGGTGCATTTGAAAACTAATTCAGTAATTCCAATTAAGAATCAGCATAATTTGGCATTGTGCACCACTGAGTCATAGCGGTGACACTCTCTGTATGTGAGAGTTCCAGCGTCAGTGACCTTGAGCAGGAGCGTGTATGCGCTAGGGTTGAACTTGGAATGTAGACTTGTGCCAATGAATATTTATGCATAGTAAGTTATTAAATGTAAACTGATTCAAGGATACTGGGGTAAATAATGAAGGATAGGTTTGATTTTGTAATCAATTTTCAATCTTTTAATGTAGGTACTATAACAAATTGATAACTTTTGTATATTTTCCTTTTTCGATTCTTTTTATAATTCTTATTATTATCTAAATAATAATAAGATTGCGTAGCGTAGTCAGTCTGTGCGTGCAATGCAGTGCAACGCTATTATTTTACTATTTCGCTACTGCGATGCCTTAGGGATGCAAAGTCTTTTGAAATATCGATATTTATATCGAAGTCAGGAAAATATCGATATCCGATATATCGACCATTTTAACTTGATATTATCGATATCTCGATATTTTTTCCTTTTAATTGAAGTTATACTTCTTTAGGCGCGTTATGAAAAAATGATGAGAGTGAAATTTTAAGATGCGCGCGCATCACTTTAACACAAAATTTTAACATAATGAAGTTGGTCGCTTTAGCGATCTATCATCTAAACTTAAAACTAAATTTAACATCAGTCTCTCCTTTTCATTCTGTATAGATAATGACAAGGCTACACTGTAGTCAAATTTAATTTTATGTTTAGAATATCATGCCAGACTCCACACCAGTTTAGTATATTTCTTGGGGTTCAAGATTTTTTTAATACATCTATGAGCTCTTGCGATTTCAAAGTAATAGTTATTTCGATATTATTCAATTTAGATAGTCATAGCAGGTAAATTAATTGATATTATTGTGTTCAAATTTAGTCTACGAAATATCGAAATTTTGGAATTTCCGATATCGATATCAGTGAATTTTAAATATCGATATTTTGGTCTCGATATTCCGATATATCGTTGCAACCCTACTATGCTTTCGGTCGAGGCAGTCGGCGACTGCCCTTTCCACGTCCCGCGCGACGCGCAACGCCCCCGCGTACCTCCAGACACCCACACATAGCCGAGGGCGATTTTACGAGCACACATGCTTAAGTTTCGATTCTTTTCGCGTAGTGTATATATTCGTACAGTAATTGGAAAACCACCATTGTCTGCTGAGAAATGCTATTCATTGTATTGAACAATTTAGAACTTTAATGTGATCATGATCTTCCATTAAATATGAAGTATTATTAAGAGGAAATAAATTTGGCATTGATGTCGATTCTGGCATGATTCTCTAAAGCTAAACTTAAATTTGACAACAGTGCATCCTTGTCCTTCTCTTTACAGAATGAAAAGGTGAGACTGACCTTAAATTTAGTTTTAAGTTTAGAGAATCACACCAGAATTGACACCATTGTGTCTTGATGGGGCACAGGCCTTCCCCAGGGCTGCTGGATGGAATAGGGAGATTAGGCCGTGACGTGACGTGCCTCACCACGGAAGCCCAGTGGGATAAATGGGTGCCAACGACTGCAGATGCAGCCGGGACCAACGTGCTTAACACTATTTTTGAAGCACGCAGGAGTTCGAGATAATATGTTTTTGGTCACCCATCCATAGTAAAGCAAGGTCTCTCGCGCCAATTTTCTAACAAAACAAGTTTTATCCAATTGTCGTTAGGTAAATTGTTAGGCCACGGCCCTAATCGATTAGCAAACTGTGTAACACGAAAATACGGCGCAGGATACTCGGGTTAATAGTAATGGGTAATTTTTAAGATAACGAAAATTTGTACTGTCTAATGGAAGATACACGACGACACTGACACTCGACACAAATGTCGACGCTAGTGTTCATTGCGTTCACACCAAGAAGCTTATACTCAAAAGTATTTATTTTGAGTATAGGCTTCTTGGTTCACACGGTAAACAATTTTTTGTGTCGATATTAGTTTAAACATCTAGTGTCCTCGTCCCCTTAGATTTTTAAGAGTGGCCCGGTTCAAATGTATTTGCGGCATGTCTGTCGTACGTCTTGTTTCCGCGGCTGCAACACGGACAGGACACTTGAACATAAGCTACATCGCCACTACAATGAGGGCTATCGCGTCTGAAACCGCCGCTAGAGGCGCTTGTGTTGCGTCAGGTCTCTGAAATGTCAAATGTTGTAGCTTGCGGGTTGACTACGCGGTTTTTTTCTAATTAAAATAATAGTTGTGAATATTTGGTAATAAATCAGACTTATTATGGCAAATATGAGTTACGTGTCAATGATTGTCAGTTATTTAAAAGCGGAGCTAAGAAAAAATATTGTCCTTCTTTTTTCCGAACAAAACGGGACTGCGCAACACTGTGGTATGGGCGATTATGTTTCAGATACGATTCTTTTGTATTAAAATGTAAACTTTGATATCACGAGCGTGTTTACTAACTTTAAAAGTTACACTTCAGGACCTCACTCAACAGTGGCGCCATCTGGTGAGACAAAAAACGATAGCCCTCATTGCAAAAAGTCTCGCGGCAGTGGATAGACAGAGACAGTCGATGTATACACTGAGTGTCTAAACTAGATTCTGGTGTCGTCGTCTAACTGATCCATTAGAAACAAATCAATAAAGATTATTATTATTAACCAATGACCGACCATTATTTAGTTAGAGCATCTATGGACCATAAAGAAAGTTGTTGTACTTCCACGATAGCAGGCCTCCCGCTAATTAACCACCTGCGCCATCGATAAAGATTAGGTCTATGATTGAGTTTTTCGATAGATAAAGTATAATAGTAGATTTTTTTTTACATTTAGCGACTTCAATTCCCGGTTCAGACATGAAATTATTGAGAAGTACATCAATCCAGCTCGTATTATTTTTAAAATTAAAATGAAGCCTTCATTCAGTAAAATCTTAAAAAATCTATTTAGTCTTTTCCTACATGTGGCCAAAGTTTTGGGACATCCTGTTTAGCACAGCTAGCAACGATATTTAATATCGTTGACAGCTAGTGATATGTAACCCAATCAAGAAACTTATATAAGTACTAACTGGAATGCTTACGAGACCCTCAAAATCGTTCCAAGAGCATAGCTGCATTGGTGGAATCTGTCTCGTTCTAGTAGTGTGCTCAAACAGTTGCAAGAGAGAGACAGATTCCACGTTCGTCGTGTCGCGCTAGGAGTATTTTCTCCCCTTAGGGTGTTTTTAATATCGTGCGGATTTCATCACGCACGCGGGATAGCCCTGCATACGGAAAATTTCACGCACGCAGCGTGAGACATGCAAACCTACAATCTAGTTTTCTGCGGGCTGCTATGCGTTGTGGTTGTGTACAATGGACGACAAAAGTACACACCTGCATTTTTCTTTTCCTCCTCACTTAAACTTTCGAAATTTGGCGGTAGTTCCTTTAATATTTCTTTCCAGACTGCGTCTCTGTTATTATATAACTCATGGATTTTATCCCGTAAGCAAGGCCTCGTTATAACCTCAATTATAACACGTTCCGTGTCAATTTTCATTCTCGATTTGCCTGTACAACACGCGCGTGCACTCCGCATGTCAGTAAAATGCACACTGGATTTCATAAAATGTGCACACGCATGCAGGGTACCCGCGCGGTGCATCCCGCGTCCGTAGTCTACGCATTACAATAAATACTTATATAGAAAAGACCCTTCCGGGTGTCACGCATACGGGGCAATCCCGCGTGCGTGATGAAATCCGCATGATATTAAAAACAACTATAAGAAGGTAGAAACTAAAATGAACTTTATGTATAACTAGTTACAGTACATTTTTTGAATTCCCATATTGTTTCGTAAGCATTCCAGTTAGTTTAAAAGTTCCTTGAACCCACTACTACAATAAACTAGTGACAACAAAGACTTATGCAACCATGGATAGCTCCATAGATGTAATAATGAAACAAGATTTTAAACTAAGGCTCGTATTACAGAATGACAACTATGTCCTGATCCTCACTTGAGCACAGTTAGATAAGGGAAGCCACTATGTGCTATACAGAGCGATATCCCTTTGTAACTATACTCAAGTAAAGATCAACACTTAGTTGTCATTCTGTAATTCGTTCCTAAGTCTAGAGATAAATTAGGTACCTTACCATGTAAAGGGATGTTATAATTTATAAAAACAATTTAAATAGGTACATTTAATATAATGTTATAACTACTTAAATGTTAACACCTTTAGAACATTGTAGTATTAAATGTGGAAACAACATTACAAATAAAAAGCTGATGTTGTAAACTATCAATAATTTAATTTAACATTAATTTCACTGTCAGTAAAGCTAGACAAAAATAACATCCATCACGCACAATAATTGTACTCAAAGTACAACTTTAACAGTTATGACATGGTTTTGAATAATTTACTAGGCATGTTGTAGACTTGCAACCAATCGTAATAGCAACATGCCGAAGATACTGATTGAACTAAAAATAGAAAGTAAATTCCAGAAATATTATGAAAGATACTTCCTACTTTATATAAATATTATCTAAATTGCTGTTTACTTAGTAGCTTCCTTTAAGTAAGCAATGAGATCTGCACGCTCATTAGCTTTTTTCAAGCCAGCGAACACCATTTTGGTTCCAGGGATGTACTTCTTGGGGTTCTCCAGGTACACAAACAGAGTATCCTCATTCCATGAAATACCTGAAAATTCACAGAAGTTTTTATCATCAATATTACCAGATTAGACTCCCATAAAGATCAAAATAGAAAAAAAAACTTTTTTATATTGGCTTTAATCTGGCTCAATTAGAACAATCACAAGTACCTATAAAATTGGGGCTTTATGATCAAAAGTCAAGGATGTTTAGTGTTCAAGTTTCAGAAGATCTTCATATCAAAACTTTAAATGTAGATATATGTTCTTTTAACAAATTTCAGTTTTTGATATTTCCACTGGAATCTTTTTCCAAGAGATAAACTACCTGTGTACCAAATTCCATCTAAGTTCAATCCACACATTCAAATTTATATTATTAATAGGATTTAATCTGTCTAATATTAAAAATAATATTCCTGTGAACCTAAATTAAATAGGTTTTTTTATACTTAAAAATATAAAAAAGTTATTGTTGATCTGAATTCTATAAAAATAAATATGAAATAGTATATTTTTAAATAATTTAGAGTAATGATTGTGTGAAGTAGAATCATTAATTAAAATAATCTTATCTAGTATAAAATGTCATTATTATATTACATAATAATTACTATTCATTGCTAACTAATGATAGTCATACATTGACCATTGCATTATTCACAATGATGAAATCATTATGTAACATGAAATACATATAATTTAATATGCTGATGCCATAAACACAGTTAGGTTGAAATATTTGAAACTTTATTTCTTTTCATAAGATCAAGTGATCAATACTACTTGTTGAATTATTTGTCTGTGATAATTACTATTTCACTGAAGAATAAGGTAAGTATGTGAAAGTAGCTCAAGATTTCATTAACTACATTATAATTAATTACCTTTTGATTTGTTAGCATCAGAGTAGTTAAATCCTGCTGCTTGGCCAGTCTTACGACCCCAGAAACCGTGAAGGTTAGGGCCTACTTTGTGTTTGCCACCAGATTCCACCTGTAGCAAAAAAAATAAAGAATCTATTGAGGCACATAGTTTTCATACCAAAGTTATCAATGAAAAAGTACATAATTAATAAATGAATACCACTTTATTACCAACACTGCATCGGCATATAAGTCAAAAGATAGTTTAATTATAACATTCAAGAAATAAATAAGGATTTTTTATTGAATAAACTTACAGTGTGACATTGGGCACATCTCTGCACGAATATTTTCTTTCCATTTTCAGCATTACCAGCAGGGACACCCATTGTGTGCCTGTAAATTGAGTAATAAAATTATTTTAAAACTCAGAAAACTTAGTGCAGTCTTAATAAGAGTAATAGACAAAGTTCGAATATAGTTATGTGTAAGTCATTCTAGCAACTACGGATCTAAGTTAGCTAGCTACAAAAAAATAGATGAAGTCACATGTAGGCCTATAGGGCGAATCATCCTCCACTTTTAACTATGTTATATTATTATATCTTAGTGCAAACGCAGCAAACAGCTACTCAAACATATTCAACGGCACAGTAAATTTAGATAAGAAATTGGGTCAGGATCAATGTCAACTGGGAATTTCAATGTGCAGTGTCGTAATGACAGCGTTACGTAAGCGCAAAATCGAGTAGCAATTTTGCAAGTGCATTAAAGAAATGCACACAATGTTTATTGTAGCCAAGTAAGTGGGAAAAAATGTGAAAAAAATAGTTATCGAAAGATTACCGCGAATAATTTTAAAGGTTATTTATATGAACACCATCGAGAGGCGTGTACCACAAGGTTATCTAAGATGATCTAGTATTCTTACTTATTATTAGAAAAAACATTACTAATTTTATATAATCAAAGTTTCAAGTAAAGTACTCACTTTTATGGTGTGTGTAAAATTTATACCAAGAATTTGAGCGAAGGGCAAGCCAATGCGCGAATATTTCGATTTTCCTTTTCCGACTGACAAAGTGACAACTCGTGAATGACTGACTGACTGAGAGAGTGACGTAACGTAACCGGTGGTGACGAACGAGACACTACGAGACATGGTTGCCAACCGTATAATGCGATTCAAATAAGGATAGGAAAGCCAATAATCTCCATCTGTCAAATGTCGCTTGAAAAGTACGGTTTGCAAAAAAATCTCGAAACACTTTTTAGCACTCAGCTGATTCTAGAATAAAAAAATGGTTGCCTGTAAAGTCGGTTTTACGGGCGAAGATTTTACGTGACAACGTCTTTTTCTCGGTAGAATATTTATTGATATGAATATAATTAAATTGCACAATAGGAACAAGGAATTGAATGAAAATAAGAATTGCACAAATTTTAACTATAGAAATATATTTTGTTTACTAAAACATTGTACATGTAAACTTAAACTTAACACGAGAGACTCATCGTAACGTTACCGAGCGTTACACTTTTTCATAAGTGACTCCCAGCCGCAACCTAATTTAAGACGTTGTCACGTCAAAACACAACATTTTTAAACAAACAATAACAAATGTTGATAATTAATATTATTTCTTTTATTTCCACTTATTGAGTATTGGTTATATATAGTTGATAACCTAAATCGTCAACCAAATGTCACTTTATGTTGCGTTTATGGATGCATGTTCGTATGTGACCTACATGATTATTCATAACTTCTCCGGCGGTAATGCAAAGATGAGCGAAATTGAAGAGCTAGATTCTGATTAATGTTTTATTTCACACAGTCTTAATAAAGAAATACTATTAAAAATCGGTTGTGTTCTTTCTCAACCTTAGTAAATTAATTTTATTAAAAATCTGATGTTTTGTCTCACTTAATCTTAGTAAATAAGTTTTTTTTAATAGAAAATTTTTTTTGCTCACTCTACCTATTCGGTTTGAATTGACAGCTATGACGTCAAAATATGGCGCCCAGTCGGTCCTATTGTTAGTTGAATCGCATTATTGATTCTTTTTCCTCGTACTTATTTAGGTAGAAATCTCGTAAACTGGCTTTAGAACGTCGTACACCCCCCCACCCCCTGGAATCAGTAAATTAAATTATAGGTCAACGAGTCTACGAACCATAGACTGTAAATAAAATGTTTCTTTAGATTCAAACGCCTAGCAGTTAAATGCTTAAAATGTAAAATAATTGTAATAAACATAGTCTGGTTCGGATACTTACGATTTATGCTCCAGCATGTTGCCTACAATGTAAAATCGTATTATAAATTTATCGGACAAAATCCTGTACATAATTGTACGAGGTTTGTGTAGTGTCCTCGTACCTCGTACGAAAGACCAGAAATCTCGTATTTGTACGAGAATTATCGTACGGTTGGCAACCCTGCTACGAGACGAGCACAGATTACAGAGACTGAACGGCTGTCCGTTATGCTGGGGCTACACTGGCCGAGACATTCATTCTTTGCCGGATGTTTATCACAAGAAAAAAGATAATTCCGTTGCTGTCAGTAAATTGGTATTTTAACGTGAATATTATGTGCGGATGGCTCTAGGATGAAGGATCCTCGGCCGATGAAGATCTCGTTACGCTTAGTGTACGGAGCAAGGTACAAAACAAGCGTGGTAATTTAAAAAAAAAATACCACGCTTGTTGTGTAGCTTGCTCCATACACTAAGTAAAGTCTTTGAGGAAATTGTCTATGCAGCCATTTATCCTTGTATGAAACCAGGGGCCGCCCGCGTTAATTTTAGTTTTTAGATAATCCTTTAGGAACCTATCATTTTTCTGGAATAAAAAGTATCCTTTGACTAAAGTATTTTTGACAACAGTGCATCCTTGTTCATTCTCTATAAAGAATGAAAAGGAGAGACTGCTGTTAAATTTAGTTTTAACCAATGCCTCATTCTAGGTCATAATGAATTGAATCCCTACTTTAATGTATGCGGTGTTTACCTTAATAGATTGTTACACTAGAGTGCATAGTTAATTTTGTAAATAGTTTTAAGTAAACTGTAAACAAATACTGGTAAACCATATAATGGTGTCGATTCTGGCATGGTTCTCTAAACCTAAACTTAAATTTAGACTTGCAACGAATAGTATATTCGGCAGTATACCGAATATTCGGCGAGGCCCCTGACCGAATAGCCGAATATTAGGCAAAAGTATTCGGCTGGAATTTAGCCAGTGTTGCCACCTTGGATTTTTTTATGGCGCTAAGTCAAAGGTAAAATATCGCCAGATTTCAAAAATTAGGATTTAATAAAATACACCAAAATCCGCTAAATTACAATTACATCTCAGACAGCAAAAAACCCTAATTTAAATAAAAAACCAGTGAATATATATGAGATGCTACAGAAATAACTGTATTCCGCAGTCGTTCTAAATTAGTAAAATTTAGTTATTTAAAAAAATGGCAATAATGTAACTTATAACTTTTCCGAGCGTTACCTTAGTAGTACTAGAGAATGTAATAAAACCGGGTAAATATGTATTTACATTCATTATTTATAATCAAGAAATAAATCTTATACAAAATGTGAAATTTAAAATTCAATATTGTTAAATGTTACATTTTCTATAACTTCATCGTCGTTCACAGACGTCGACGCTTCTGTCGATGAAGCCGATGTCGAAGCTGAAGATGTTTGGTTGTAGTTGCAGTGGATTTTTGAAAGAGTATTTTGTGTTTTTTAAATGATATCGTTTGGTTGCCGGATAGAATTTGCATTTTTTGTTTGTACTTTTTTGTTTCAGCATGTCTTCTCAAATTTACTACTTTTGCTAATAATTCTGCTTTACAAAATGAACAAAACGCCTTCGCATCAACACCTGCTAAAGGTTTAAGCTAGGTTTGGAATTCCTCGAGTGATTCCCATTCTTTTCTATACTTTTGTAAGTAATTCTTTGTCTTGAATAGAATTCCCATAATAACATATAATTGAATACTCTAAACATACAGCTTCAGGAGTTCATACACTGTTACAAACGTTTCTATCAAATCAAACTTTTACACTTTTTAACAACACAATGAACGCGAACCTAATTCCTGAAACAGAATGAACGATTAAAGGAATCTCTTAACAGACAAACGCTTGTAGGAATTCCCCTGTCACAGAGAAAGCATAGAACATTATGCAATTCCGGAAAGTTAGGGGATTTCCCCCCTTTAAAAATATGTTGCTAGATTTTATGTTAAAAAACCACTAAAAAAAATATACCCGCTAGACAATGAAAATATACCACTAGAAGCTGTGAAAAAGCACCAGTTCTGGTGGAAAAACCACCAAGGTGGCAACACTGAATTTAGAGCCAAATACTTGTACAGACGTGATTGTTTCGCGCTCCTTTGTTTTGTTCTAATCTGCCGTCCTCAAGCTAAAATGCGGCTAAATGACAAAACCAACTTTTGAGATATGGCCAAAAACGGCGCGTAAACTTTAAATTATTGCTATTATGTAACCATTTATCACATGACTGAATGAATTAAAAACTGTTAACTTGTTTAATACAGAAAATGATTAAATTATGTACCTGTTTTATGTACCAATGACAACTTAATATATGATTATAAAATAAATGATAACCTTACCCTTCTAAATTTTGATTACCACAATAATTCAAATACATAGAATCCTCCATTTTTCCAATTCAGAAGATGATTATGTACCTGTTTTATGTACCAATGACTACTGTGTCATGATTATATAACAGAAATGAAAATATAAATATATACGTAATCAATCGATTTTAATTTTTCATTTTACCAATTATTTCTCTATGACAAAATATATTATTTAAGTATTCGGTATTCGGCCGAATACTATGTAGATATTTGGTATTCGGCCGAATATAATAAAAGCAGCCGAATAGGCCGAATACCGAATAGTAACCGAATATTCGTTGCAAGTCTACTTAAATTTGACAACAGTGTATCCTTGTCATTCTCTTCATAGAATGAAAGGGAGAGACTGATGTTAAATTTAGTCTTAAGTTTAGAGATGCCAGAATTGACACCAATAAATAAATAAATAAACTATACCGACCAACCAAACCATGTGTGTGCACCAAATTTCATCCAAATCCGCTTCGCTTTTTGCGTGATTGAAAAATGAAAATGAAAAAAAATACACAAACATACAAACTTTCACATTAATAATATTAAAAGAAAAGCAGGACTAGTACTGTAGGATTATCAAATCGTTAGCATGGTTTCCTTAGTCGTCGCTCCACTAACTTAAATGAATTTGTTTTGTTGAAAAGTTTGTAAATGATACTTTGACGAATATGGACAGTGTTAGACAAGTAGACGTGATCCACACGGATTTTGAAAAGGGTTTAGATCGCGTAGATCCCCGTCAGCCTGTTTCACAAGCTTAATATACTTATAGTCTGGGGGTTTACGGATATTCTTACGTTGGATAGTCATACTTAAAAAATCGCTCTCATGCAGTTGTTTTGGGTGGATATAGATCAAACTGCATTGATTTGCCAACAGGCGTGCCTAAGGGTTTGTATCTAAGGCCTTTATTTTATGGCGCTTACTTGTATGACTTTGGGGTTCACTTAAAATATGGCGAACAATTGTCGTAAACAGACGTTAAAAAAAACTTTACATCAAAAATGTACGCAATTTTGAATCTCTACAATCCGACCTAGACAATTTAGCAAGTATTACTTGGAAAACAAAAGTACTATCAATATAGGCAAGTGTCACTAGTGTCAGTTCATCTTAAACACACGAAAAAGCAAGCCTATTAAATATAAATATACACTCAATAATAACCCAATTGAAAAGTGACAGAGATTCGAGATTTGAGTTATTTTTCATAGTAGAATGACTAGAGGCGACTTTACCTATGGAGCAGGGTGTGCGTTGCACACCAGAATTAAGAGCAAACTGACTCCTTCCACAGCACGGTCCTAGGGGGCGCTTAGAGTCGGCGCCGCTCGCTACGGAGCCCCATGCCGGCCGCGGCACCTTCTATTACCAACGTAATAGAGCTCCGCTTTATTTACATTTTGTATAGCAT